GCTAGATCGAAGAGAGTCACAAGATTAACCATGGCATTGAATGAAAATCCTCTTCGGAGGTTCGAACATATTACGGTGGAAAGCTTGTTGAAAGCTCTTCCATCCCCTAATTTTTCTTTAAAAACTTGATAAAGTGCTTGCAAATACATCAATTAGTTTCGTAGGTTTTTATTTGTACTGGAGTAATGATGAAACAATTTGGGTTTCTAGCTCTTTACAGTTTTGAAGCTCACAAAATTCTTTTACCCGGGCAGTCTGGTAAAGATGTTACGTATTACAACATTGGTCTAGCTCATCGCTTTCTCGCTGTTCGAACAAGTACCTTTTTGGCAGCCTCACATCTTAATATCCTATTTGAATAACGCACCCAATCGTCCGCCTTGAGTATGTGTGAAGAAGCTTACGAAATCTATGAAGCGATTGGCGGCCATAATCTTTCATCTGTAACAAACGCTATCACCACGTTGGTTTAGCATGCCTAGAAGTAAGCAAATCTGAAGCCTGATGTTTTTTTTTCCAAATTGGCAGGTCGAAGGGATCCGGGTTAGGGTTTTTAGCAATAGAGTATTTGGTTTTACGGCGAAGTGTAGGTTTGTTCAACACAGAAATATTCTAGCTATAAGCTGAACTGAATAGTAATCCGTTGTATTAGAAGAAAGTATAATTGCATAGACTATTTCAACATAGTACCAGTAAGGGAGGGAACTTCAGTTTGTAAATGTTCTCATCAATTTTAGTACTTAGACGAGTGCCATAGTGGTATGAGGCCATGTCCAAGTCGAACAAAGGCTCGATTCCTGTCCGCGGGCAATCAAAGTCCCTACACTCCGGAATCGGTGAATTGGTACTAAAGCAATCAGAAAAAAAGCACTGAACAGTAACCACTAACCCAGCAGATCATATCTCATGATTTCGCAAAGTTGCCAAGATAATGAATTTAGTGTATCGTAACGAAGGCATTCGCGTCCGTTCGTCATTACGAGGCTGAACCATCATAACTTATAATAACGGTCTAAGGGTTGTTTACGTTTTTTTTTGTGTGTGTGTGTGTGTGTCTGTCTGTCCGTTACGAATTTCGTAGGGAGAGTTCCAGCCAACCTCTTGAGCCCAAAATTTGCATAGCGCATCCTAGCAGCAGGAAAGTCCATTGTGCAAAAGCACAAGCGGGTCCGATAAGTGGATCCCCTAAAAATTGCGCCTGAAACGGGTCCACTTAACTTCTGAGCAGCAAAATTGGGCCCGTATATAAAACTTTTTGCAAAGTCTTGGATATGTTTGACAAGCTAATGTACAAGCCATGGACTTGAGCCTAAAAAATTCAGCTAAAGTTGGTTACTTTACGAAGATGGCGCCAAAAAGAATAGCTGCGTAAATGTTCAGTTTCCCAAAATTTTACTTGATCATTTGAGAAAATTTTCAGAGATGTAACCCACGACGATTATTGCCGTTATGGCGACTACCAAACCATGAGAAGTCCACAAACCTATGCATTTATTCTTCTGAGAGAGTCCCATCCCCGTGAAAATACCGATCTCACACAAAAAAGCTCTAGGAATGAGTAGCTGTTTACGAATCATTCGTGATAGCCTGCATAACGCGGTGAGTTTCAATGCCACTATCATGCGGGAATGAGTAAGGCATACAGAAAGTAGGGCCAGTGCGAGCCTCTGCGAAGCAGAGGTGACGCACTGGTCACGAATATGCTCTCTCTCGTGCGAAATTTCTTCTTTCCCAAATTATTAGGAGTTTCAAATAGTACACTAGCACATACATGTGTATATCCCAACATCTCCATGCTTCAGAGATTTGGCTACACTATCAGCATTGCTCACTGTCTGCCCCACATGACCCTAAAGCAAATGAGGTTTTTGAAACCAAGTTAGCTTTTCTTTTGTTTGCAAAGCCACATGTGACGATTAATCAAAATAATTTCGTGTTGGCTGATTTGAAAACGGTTGGATGCTGATCTTATATTATTGGATTTACGATGTCAAGAGATTTTCGAAATCTATGTGACATTGTCGGAACCACTAGTAGAAATGCATTTATTGCTCTCAAACGATTCATATAATGCGTTTCATACGGTAGATTTATTAATCTACTAATGTTCTTATTACTTGTGGATTATTAAAGCAGCAAAAAAGGAAAAAAATTTTAAGAAAATTGCTTACAACAGTCAATCCACCGCTCTTCAAAACTTTTGCCGCGTTCAGTGGACACTCAAAAAAATAGGAGGAGAGTGTATTGCGTACAGCTTTCATCATTAGGGTAGTGCACAAAATTTCGTCTGATTAACCTCCTTATTCTAAACCAGTGCGTCACCTTTGCTTCGCAGAGGCTAGCACTGGTTTTGCTATCTGAATGCTTTACTTATTCCCCCTCTCATATTGGTAGCAATGAAATTCACCATGCAACACCGCTTATCACGAATAAAATAAAAACAGCTACTCATTCTGAAAACTTTTCCATGTAAAATCGGTGATTCTGCGTGGATAAAACTTTTTGCAGAAGAACAAATGCAAGTTTGAATAGGTTTTTGAATTCCTCATTGTTTTGGTAGTCCCCATAAGTACAATAATCACTGTGAGCTACATCTTTATGCCAAAATCTTGTAAATGCTTACGTAAAACCTTGGCAAAGTGACCATTTACGCAATCCATTCTTTTTGGCGAAGTTTTTGTAAAGTACTAGACTTTTGATCATTTTTGGGCTCGAATTCATGGCTTGCCCTTTTGCTTGCCGAACGCATAAACGGCTCTGCGAAAAGTAGAAATACGCACCCAGTTTTGTGGGCCAGAAGCCATGTGGACCCGTTTGACGCGCAATTTTTGAGGGATTCACTCCATGGATCTGCTCGTGCTTCAGCATGTTGGGCTTTCATGCTGGTAGCATGCGTTGTGCAAAATTTGAGCTCAGAAGGTTGCCTGGAACATGCCCTATGATTTTCGTAACAGACACACTCTCACACATACACACACACAAAGTCACGTAAACATCCTTAGCCCGTTATTATAAGTAATGACACTAAATCAAGTATATCTTCTCTCATGACAACCAGATAAACATAAGAAAAGATTGGTGAATTCACTATCAATGTCAGGTAGTGGTTGTGTTTTTTCATTTATTATTTCCTATCCAGCTAGAATAAAATGCTATAAATTACTTCACAAAGTGTGAGAGGATAAGCCAAAAAGTTTACGAAGATCCATTTGCGCATTTCTCCAGTTTCTACGCGAAAAAGGCTTCTATCATTTTGATTTCGAGCTTCTGCCATATCTACGTCAAGAGGCTTTTACCATCCAATCAATGGCTTATCCATTTTGCAATCTATGCCCTATGAAATCTTTTGCCAATCAATCGCTTATCTTGCCATCTCTTATACATTTTGCTTATTTGCGCACACATTGTTATAAAAATTCAATTTCCGCTTCAATTAGCCAAGATTGAGGAAAAACCAAATCGTGCGCAAATCATATGTGTTGGCCTTTGTTAATCCAAAAATAACCGCGTAGGCGATCTCTATCATAGAACGTAAATACGTCAATTCCCAGCTCATGGCTTGAACTTCTCAAAAATCGATAAAATCGATATTTGATCGGATATTTTTGGAGACTAATATTGATCAGTTAGGTCGAGCTTTGCAAAAAAAATAACCGAAAATAGATAAAATCGATGCCGATCGATTACGAAAAGTAGCACCCATCCCAAAATGTAAGTGTGCAAAGATCAATCCAGAAAGAAAAGAAATTTTCTAATTGGAAAATACGTACACACAGTCAGACGTACATACAGATACACAGACATACACACATACACACATACAAACAAAAAGGCATTCGCTTTATTTAAAGGGTGTTAATAGTAAGTACATGTTAATAGTAAAGGTGCCAATAGTAAGTACACACTCCTCAATCGGTAATAACTCTTGTTCCCACAAAATCTTTTGCTTAGCTTAGAGCCCACTCAGTAGAGCAGGCTTCATCTTACGGTTAGAATTACACTTTAGAGTGAATCAACCAACTCTTCATTTACTGTGAGACTATGGTAGGAACACCAGAAAGTTTTTTGAGCTACATGTTGCTTCAAAACGGATACCCATCAAGTAAAAACTTTATCATTAGCCTAAACTGAGTCGCTTACTAGGAACATAAAACTTGCACCTTGAAACGTTCTTCATAAGTTAAGCCATGTAACCGCAATAACATTTTCCAGTGTCTTTCAAATATTTTATAAAGGCCTTTCAAAACGCTCAACAAACTCATATAAATTGTTTAGTGAAATCAACATGTCTGGAAACGCTGTTACACAACTTTCCAGAATTTTTTGGTACCCTTTTTAAAAATTTTATAATAGCGCTGTAGTCCGAAGTTCTTACCGTAAACCCACAGTAAAGAGCTATGGAAGTTTGCCCAGCTGTAAACTTGAGTTGAAGCTTACTCTACTAGTGGTTTTGAAGCTAAGCAAAATGCTTTTGTTTGAAGAGAGTTAGTAACGATTGCAAAAGTGTACTTACTTTTGAGACAACCAGTATTAAAAGAAATACAGCAGGTGGAGAATGGAAGCTGACAAGAATGCCGCATTTCCACCGATCATTCTCAGGATAAAAAACCATGTCTCACAGAAAAAATATAGTCCAAAATAGGGCCAACTAAATCCCACAATATCTCAAAAAGGTACCAGAGCAATCTGGTAGGAACAGAGCGCTGATTTATTTGGTAAGCAGCTGGTCCGCGCAAGTCATATGTCAACATTTCATTCATTTCTAAAGATGATCTAATTCATCTAATCAATTACTTGCCATTCGCCGCCAAAACGAAGATATTACCGCAATATGTGCCAAATTTTTTCTCATATAAATCCTTTCTTCCCAATTCGCAAAATTATTGTGTACAGTATTTCTAGCATGAATATATTTTTCCTAACATCTCAGTTTTGCGTCAAAACTTCGACTACACTCTCAGCACTGCTCATTTGCTCTCCACCATATATTTTTATTGCAGATGAGATTCGAGGAATCTATGTGACATTGTCGGAACTACTGGAAACGCAGTCTTATTGGCGATATAGCTTCTATAATGCGGTTTATACGGTAAATTTATTAGTTTTCAATTTTTTTCATTTACTCATGACATACCACAAGGCAAACCTAAGGATTGGAAAAGAAGACCAAGTTAATTTGCTTTTTTCTTCGCAAATGTCATATTTTGGATTGCCTAATGCCTGCACGTGAATGATCCTAAGGACGACGTTTAGGGTTATGTCTACACAGCTACACTTTAGATAAGAATAATGAGAATGAAGCCTTCCCATCATGAAAAAAATTCAAAAGTTTCTCTCCGTAAATTTTGAAAAAACGTAAATGAACCTAACTAGAGCGTTCGCGGTGGCAATTTGGAACGAAATGCATATCATTAAATGTCTTGCTGAGCTAAAATTCAACCTAGCTTCATCGTCGGCTGCGCGATTTTCTTTAGAAAGCCATAAGTGTTTTAAACTCCAACTAATGCAAACGTTTGGTGACAACCTCTCAAAACTAGCTATTCGAAAGCATTTTTCTTGTTTCTGGTTGATGCGTGCATTCCTTGCAGTCATCATACTGAACTCCTTATAAATTTACAGCTGATCTCATTGCACATCACGCCTTAGAGCCCAAAGACTTCACCATTTGATCGCTCACAACTTTTTACAGAGAATTCAATGCAGATAGAGAAAGTGAATTTGAAATTAGCTCATCAAGACGCATCTGATAATAAGCAGTTCACTCCTGTACTGGGTTTGGGATCCTTCCTTCTATATATGCGCTAGCGATAAAGACTACTGTAGGTAATTTGAGTAAAACTGAATTTTCAGAAGCGATTTCCGTTACAAGCAACCCGTTATTGTCGTTATCAGTATAAAGGAGCCAATAAACAGCTTCGTAGGTTTATCGGGAATTTAAAAAACTGCAAAATTGTTTTATTGAATGGGAGACCATTTCCACCAATTTGGTTGTTTTCTGAACAAAGTCTACGGTACATATCCGTTTTGCTTGCACGATTGCTTTCTCAGAAAAACTTTTTGTTTGTACCATGCCCCTGGCTTAGACGACTCCTCTTTTATAGTTGATATCTCGGATTGTACAGCATAGCTGTCCCTTTGTCCCATATTTTTAATATATCTTTGATGACCGGGACAGTCCCAAAACTCTGAAAACAAGCCATGGTTGTTCCAATTCCAAAACGCACAGGGGCAAATAAAGTTACTGAATTTAGACCCATTAGCATTTTGCCGACACCTTGTAAAATAATGGAAAGAATTCTTGCCAAACATCTCTTGAATTGGTGCCTCAAAGGGAACTACCTTCCCGAGGAGCAACATGGGTTCATCCCTGGCTCTTCTACAACCACGCAGCTAATAAAATGCTGTCAAGAATGGGTCGACGCTTTGAGTAATGGCGAATCAGTTGAAGTAGTTTACTTTGACCTATCTAAAGCATTCGATTCTGTAAATCACCGGATGCTCCTTGCCAAACTTGAAAATATTGGCATTAGAAGTAATCTTTTGGCTTGGTTTGAGTCATACCTCACCGACAGGAGTTTTACAGTCCTCTTCCAAGGACAAAGTTCACTAGAAAGTTTCTCCCCTTCGGGTGTGCCCCAAGGAAGTGCACTTTCTCCACTGTTGTTTAACATCTATGCCAGGGAGCTCCCGAGTTTGCTGAAAACTGATATTCGGATCAGTGTAGCAGCTTACGCGGATGACCTAAAAATTTACGCTGTTTTTGATAAAAAAGATGAATTAGTATTAGCGGATAAACTAAAATTATCTGTTCATCTAATGCTAAAATGGTGCGAGGAATGGGGATTGAAAGTTAACCTCAATAAGAGTCAAACTATAAAATTCGGTGAAACTTCTACAGTTTTTGACTATGGAGTGAATTTTAAGACTCAAAGAGTTGTGCGTGACTTAGGTGTTATCTTTGAATCCCCTTTCAAGTTCTCTTCCCAAATTGATAGCGTGGTCACGAAGGCTTCAAGAATTATGTACGCTTTGCTTAGAAATATACAGTCGAGTAGATTTAGCGGTAAATATAGTGTGCTCGCACAGAAGGTGAAATGCGGTGAAATTTGCGCGTGAACAAGTAGCCACGCCACTACTGCGGGTATTTTGCGCGCGCAATTGGCCGGCGTAACAGTCGAAGCTGTTTCTTCACGCGCCAATTTTACCGCATTTCACCTTCTGTGCAAGCACACTATATTTACCGCTGAATCTACTCGACTGTACATACGTCGAATAAAACTATCTGGGTGAGGTTATATAAGGCCTATGTCCTCCCCATTCTAGAGTATTGTAGTCCTGTTTCAAGTTGGAACCCCAACTTGAAAAAACATATTGTCAAATTAGAAAAAGTTCAAAGAACATTCACAAGAATTTTGTATTATCGACTATTCCCAAGCAAAGAGTACCCAGAAGCTCTTCCCGACTACAGGACTAGATTAAATATTTTTGGTTCGAAGAGTTTATACTACAGACGAATTTTGGCTGATATTCTGTTTGCTCACAAAATATTTCGACAAGAGGTACGTTTGAATTTCTCTAATTTTTGGTTTTTCCGTCCTTCTCAAACTCGAAGATCTATATTGAACATCTGCATTCCTAGGACCAAGGGATGGCGAAAACAACTGCTAAAGTATTCCCTTGCTGGTCGTGCTTGTCGTCTACTGAATTGCCTACCCATCGAGACTTTATGCCAAAACGATTCTACCAAACTCAAAAAGCTTTTGCTCAAAAATGACCTTCTGCGAATGTTGAATTTGGAGGATATTTCGTGAATGTGTTGTAGTACAAGATAATCGACTTGGGACACATTGTCTACCTACTTACAATGACTTTGTTTCTTTTGGTTGTTCTCTGTCTTCAATTTATCAATTTATACGTCATCATCCAGCTCTTACTGTTGCGCAGGTACTCCATTTCCAGTTCCTAAGCTTTTGCCCCGATTCTCAGTCTACTGGTAAGCCTGGTTCGACAGGGGGTCAGTCGGTATACCTGTCATTCCGAAGGTTCCAGGCATGCCATCTGGTGTTAGGGCGCACCAGCGCACACTTAGCCGACTGGTGTGCAACTATCATCAAAGTTTAACTCATGGAGTACCATTACTCAGTTTCAGCTGTCTTTCTTTTCAGAAAAAACTATATTGGTAGACCCGGTGTCTCATTTTCGGTGTTGCGGTGTAACTAACCCTCATTATTGAGTTCGTTGAATCTGACGCTCTAACCTTCATTCATTTGTTATAGCGCACTTCACGTGCACAAAATAAATAAATAAATAGCAGTAGGTTCTTCGTTAAGTCGTAAGTTTGTTACTAAAAAACCTCTCATGGAGGTTGTTTTTAATTTAGAACGGATTAGTTGCTTAGACCTCCTAAGTGGTATTAAGACAATAATAAATTTAGTTCTGTAGATATTTAAAAAACACTGATATTGCCTTAGATCGAATAAAGAAGGTTGTTGGTTGATGTAATTTAAAATGCATAAAACGCAATGACATAAGATGGTTGACTAACATACTGTATGACTAGCATTCCAGCCATACTGTAACTGGAATCTGATTTTCGATGCGTACTCCACAAAGGCGAGAAGCACTAAAATTTTAAATCAAAGATTTTCATTGTATAAGAAAACAATCAAAATTGTACCGTATGTGGAGACGAAAAGGTCGTAGTTTTGCGCAGAGCTTTGAATTTTACCAATGTTCTACCAACCTTCTTGCAGAATAAAGTGTATGCATTTTTTATTTATTTATTTTCTTTGAATGGTACTTTTATCTGAGTCCGTTTTTACTCGCCATGACTATTGTCCAGATTTTTGACTAGTCGATGGCGCACTTTTGGTGCAATAAATAAATAAATAAATAAATAAATAAATGTAAGTTTTTTTTTACTTTCTCGTGATATTGTGTATCCAAATCGGTAAATCAAAAATTGTTCTTGGTCTTTGACGAGGACACGTAATCAAGCTGTGCGGCAGTGTTGTGAATTGGCGTTCTCGAAAGACTAATCAATCAAGATTGCAGAGAAATTTTGAATTCCAAGGCTATACAGGGTGCGCCAAATTATCTGCGCCAACTTACCACAAAAGGCTGAGAAATACAAGCTCAAACTTGTGTCATAGAAGATTAGATGTAAAGATGTAAAGATTGATTAGTGAACTTGTGTCACTAATCTTTACACATTACATTTCATTGAATTCAAAGAGAGCTCTTTTGGGAATTTGAAAATTCAAAAAAAATTAGACCAGCTTCAGGAAAAGCAAAACTGGAATTTTTTACCCTATAATTTGCTCTGTAACTGAATGAATTTGAGTTCTTTCTAACCTTTCCAAGAGGTTGTAGAGCACAATTTGCACTATCACATAGGTCTAGTTGCATTTGCAGGATTTGTTCCTTCATGAATTAAGAATGTATTCGCTAAAAAACCTTACGAGCTTACGTTCACAATCGATTTTTACTAGCATGAGTGAAAAGTAATGAGAACATCGCATCTCTTTTTCAACCTATTCTCAAACTAGGTGGAATGTGTATACGCAAGTGCTCTAAACGGTGACAGACCCGGATTTTCTTTCTCTTTCCGACTATGATTTTCAACCATTCGTGCTGAAATATTTGCAGAAATTTTGATCCCAAAGTGTTTTCCGTTCAAATTCTAAGGTTTTTTCAAACTCGTGAAAAAATTCTAGACTGTGCTAATTTGAAGCGGTAAGCCCCTTGATTACCTTGCAAAATCAAGCTTTGACGTTATACTATTTTCGAGGCTCTCAAATTCGTGAGATTTTGCAGGGTTCAACGCATTTTTTTTCTGAGCCATTTTTTGAAAATTTGGGGCTTTTGGAAGAATGATTTTTTAAAAGAGCTCAAAATGCTAGTTTCGAAACACCAAAATAGTGGTTTGCATCAACACAGGACCTGCTTTGTCTTCATGTTGTCGAACTTGTTCGAAAACCTTATACTGAAAATTCTGAGGATTAACTAACTCTGTCAAAACAAAAATGATGGGTTCAAAATTTGAGTAGTTTTTTCGTTAACTAAGGAGTCAACTGGGCCATCGGTTTCACTGCTGAAAAGAGAAAGGAAAGTTATGGTTTATACAATTTAGGGTAGTCTCCTATCGCTATTCTACATGAGTTGAGGAAAGTTCGAATTGGGGAGCCAAAAGTTCTCATTATTTTTGACTCAACCTAATAGGTCCCAGACATGCAAAACCATCCGGGTGAAAAACAATTTTTAATTTATGAGTATTATGAAACATGTAGATAGTATGTAGTTAAAGCCGATTACTTGAGATAGTTTTGAATTTGATTTGAAAGACATTTTCTGTATGGCGCATTCGGGAAGGCCGAAATTACACCAAATTTCGGTATGCCGTCTCAACTATGTCTTTAAAAAATCAAAACCCTCTTCGATACTCAATGGTGTTAGAGGCGAATTCTTCCTTTACTTTCTCGCACAACTACAAAGTAAGAGAAAAAAGATATTAAAAAGATGTCATTTATCTTGAAGTCATGTTTGCGTACAAAGTACACCTCAGTTATCGAGCGAGATTGGGATTTTTTCGAGAAATAATGCAGCCAATTTCTGATTGGATTATTGCGTTACGATAATGATGCTTGATGAAAACAAACGCATACTTAGTCCACCCTCAAGCCCGTCTCCTAAGCTTCTGGCACCCAATGAAACACGCGCCGGTAATATTGGCGCACCCTGTAGTATGATAGGATTCTTATTTTCTGATCAACAATCGATAAAGTTCTCGATTATGCATGGTGTTGTGCAGCAAAAATTTTCAGTTGAAACTCATTTGTCGTCTCAGATTTTGGACGTTCTCCGTGTTGTCACTTTTTCAACGTACTTATTTTGATAACCATGTATGACGTAAGACCTGTATAGTTCCCAAAGTACGGGGATTACAGAACTGAGTTTTCGCAGTGTATTGAGTAAATAAGTAAAAGGGAATCTCTTTGAAGCTTGAGGGCATACATAAAAGCCAAGTAAAAGCAAACTGCACTACATATTCTATAGCATTTATTTCTGATTGTTTGCGAGTGGATTAGGAAATCCATAAATGTACTTACATCCTTGATTACTCTTCATTGAACAAGAGCGCACTATTTATGTACTTTACTTACGTATACGTTATTCAATTCATATTCTTGTGCATTCACATCATCTAAAACTGTTATGAATGAGGACGAAAAATCCTAATCTCTTTGATGCGAGTGCAAGTGCAGAAATGTCATCTGAGTCTCTCTGAAAATTTTTGCAACTTCACAAAAGAAATGCAGATGTGTATAATAGCCCAACCCTTTATTGAGAAATGCAGACGAGCAAATATCACAGTCACAATACAACAAGCGAAACTACTATGGAAGTCATATGGCCGCTTTTAAAGCCAGCACTATTATTTCTGCAAAAGCAGCAGAAATTTGTCGCCAAACGTTGAGTATCCCTAAATACTCAAGCGCTCACAAACATCTGAGGACTAGATTCCTCAGGAAGTTTCTGATTTAGCATTCGGTTTTGCTCATGACATATCCAGTACTATTATCGGCATAGAGCCAGCCCACAATATAGAGGGTTTGGTTCATGTCGGTCGAGGCAGCATAATTTCCATAGTGGTAGGCGGTCCCAGTGATTCTCTCGCGTATGGGAAAGGACCCACAGCAGATTCCCTCACAAGCACACCGGTGAGTAAACGCATACGCGTGTAGAAAGGTGTATCCGGTCACGTTGTAGGCGTCGCCAAAGTAGAGTCTGCGTTGACCTGAAGAAGTACAAAAATCACAATTATTTTGCAACTATTGTAAGTTTTTCTGCAATATTCATCAAAACAATTCATGTAAGTGGACTTGCGAGCTAGCATCGCAGTCTGTTGTGCTATCGTTAGAATTCTAAGGAAAAATCTTGTAAGCAGATTTATTCTTTGCTTTCTTTTGCTTTCTAGAATAGCACCACTGTCCACAGTTATAAAAACGAAAGTTTCAGCAAGGTGTTTGGAATCTGTATAAAATCAAATGATTTTCAACACTTACTCGCTCTTTGAAACACGGGAACTGATACGCATTCTGGGTTGGGTTCCTTTGCGAACACGTATCTGAATAGCTCTACCTTGCAATTATCTTATTACATGTTCTGTTTGTCCCATTTGATTTGTAACTATGGGACTAATAAAATGTTTTTGGTGTACAGATACAGAGCAACGAGGTTTTTAGAACTGTTGCTTAAGACTCGTTTTACTTTTGTTAGTCGGATGAAACAAGACATTGAACGTTGACCATGTTTCAGAATTTGCAAACTGCGGAATCCCATTTTTCAACATCGGCATCAACAAAAGCATTTGATAGCCAAAAAAAGAAAGAGTTTTACCTCTGATCGAGACTAGCACGATTAGGTATTTTTGAAATATTATCCAGGTAGAAGTGGGAGCCGCTCAAAGAAACCCAGTCTATGATGGTCAAGGACGCAGCGGTGTTCATGGCAAGCAGCTGCGCCTTTCTGGTCTCGCTCTGTGTCACGGCCGGAACTGGGAGCTGTTGAAATTCCACATCTGGAGCAAGTGGTAAAGGGCGCTCGCATGTGGGTAATGCTAATTGCCGATCAAGCTCATATACATTGCCGCGTCCAACCTGGTTGACTTCACCATTTTTGAAAATGGTGCACACATTCTGGAATAAGCCAAAGTGTTAGGCAAGGAAAAGAGACTGATTAGAGGGCATGGAAAACTTCGGGTTGTAAAGACTAGAGATAAATGTTCTCACCTCGTTGTATTGAACGAAAGTGCACAGATTCCTCGAAGCATGTGCGAAGACATATCTCTTCGCTTTCTTTCGGCAGCTCGTACTTGATCTTTGCAAGGAAATTGTCTTGAAATTTCGTGAACGTATTCGGATTTGCTCCATAGATCTGTAAAGTGGCTTTCAACTTTGTCTCCAAGAATGTAAAGGTATGGAGTTTAGATCACGGTCAAACCAAATTATCTCCAGCCTTTCTTTCAAAGATCTTTTTTCTAATGCATTAAGGACAACGCTCGTTGCTGGAATTATCTACATAATAACGCTTTTTCATACATCTCGCTTTTGTTATGTGCTTTGAAAAATTGTTAACATAAGGATAAGCCTGCTTTTTTGTTGTAAAATTCTAAACTGTACTCCCCTTTATACATAACTAAAGGTAGAGCAATCTGCTTAATGTCAATAGTTCTGTTCTTGTCAAAAGTAAGTTATCTGAACAGTGGATTATTCTGCACAAAATCACCGTTCATGAATGTTTGATTTTCAAACAAAAATTTCGATGAAAACTTTTGATCTCTGCTAATATCACTGATACAACATTCAATCTGGAAAATTGTTCAGGTGTGGTTAAAACAACAAAATTGTTTGACCTTGTTATTTGTATGACAGAAATTTCAAAAGTATAACTTTGCCGTAACAATTTCTAAACAGTACGCATTATACCGTATCTTTGCTCAGCAAAAACTTTATCTGATCAATTTACCACAAGATGCTTATGATGAGATACCTGCATCATTAGCGTTGCTATGAAGACCACAGTGGTTTTTGTCGACATGGTTGGGAGCGTGAACCCTTGTTTGCCTGAAGCATACAGAAATTACAGATTTTCAGATATCTAGCAAGGTTTCGCAAGGGTTACTTTTACTGTGATGAAACAATTCGCTTCGCTACAAAAGCTTGAGAAAACAATTAAATGGTTTAGGTGGATTAACGGCAGTGGTAGCTAGTCAGCTTGAGCCACTTAGGTAGTGGCCCAAGCCAGCTAGCTTCGAGAACGTTGCTCGAATTAAGACTCCTCCTCCTTTTAGGTCTTATATATGAATCGTTACTAGGGAGGATCTTGAGGGCGAATCTTTTGGAATTAGGCGATCCGCCCCTCTTTGTATCCACGGAGCTGACCAATCACAAGCTACAGCTACAGTACTCGACACGCCCAAGATTGCACAGGTCTACTTGAGCAAAATGCAAAAAAATGGAAACACTGATTTTTTGATTAGCTAAGGTTAGAATCTAATTAAAACAAGTTTCTACACTCCGAATTACTACATCCAACAAATTAAGTTGTCCCGTTTTGTCTGTTTTTATGAACGACTGTAAAACCACGCAGAATGGAGGCCTAAAAAAGTTCCAAAATGCATTCTATGTAGCTTTTTCTTCTCGTTCTTAATTTCACATTTCGAACCAGAATCCTTTGTACTTTTTTTGATTGCCAAAACTCTTCACCCACAATTCCTGTGTGCTCAAAGTAAAGTCATGAAACACGCAACTAGGGCAAAAACTGAAAGCTCTCAAAGTTTCTGCAAGTTGAAACTTGATTCATACCAAAAATCATTCGTGGACATCAAGTCTGATTTGCCTTTAAAAGTCAGCTAAACGTGATCAGAATTCCTCGACTTTTCCAAAGGAAATAATTATTACAGATTGAATAAGCATGAGCTGTGTGATATGAAATGTATGTAATGTAGTCAAAGGTATGCCCTACATAACAGCTACCAGCGCTGTTTGAAAATATCAGGACAAGATTTCTTAGAAATCCGGGAAAATTTGGCGTTGCTTGAGCTGCTCAAAGATCCATGGCGATAACATCGTAAAGAGAGCATAGATCACAAAACAAACATGTAGAAAAAAGATGAAGATTTGAATCGAACAACACCTGAGCAGTTCACGATTGTGTTTTGTGAGTTTCAGTGAATGATGGAAAAAAAACTGACAAAACTTTTGGGACAACCTAAGAGTAGATGAAGTCCTTAATAAACTTGAATTTTATTGTGATAAGAAGGCTGAGTTAAAGGTCTTGAAAGCTGAAATTATCTAGGAGATTTTTGTGAAAATATCGTGCACTATACCTGGCAAGTTGTGCCAAAATTCACGATAAGCTCACGCAAAAAGCATTATTTCATAGCTTAATGAACTCTGCATAAAAAGGATACGTCAGATGATACGCAACTAAGCTTGTGATTATGCTAATCCAAAAAAATCCACAAGATCTAAAATACAAAAAATCGTAAAATGTAAAAATCCATTTTTTGGGCAAACAATTGACCATGCCGGTGCGCTTGTGTTCCAGCCATAATCGAGATAGAAGGTACTGATGAAGATATTTATGCACATTCGATTTTTATCGTAAAGAGTTTTTAAGTCATACAAGATGTTTGGAAATTTTTCTCTTTCTAATTCTGGGGATCAAATCGATATTAGTGAGTTTATTGCTATAACAATCTGATAGAAAAAAGTTGAATGTCTGTTTGTCTGCATGCCTGTATGTCTCTAATGTAACCTTATTCAACTTTCTTGGCGGCTGGAAGGAGGGGCTGTGCGGCTTAATTAAGGCCGCCCGCGCCTGCTACGCAGTCTGTGTCTCTCTCTCACTCGCGCTCCCTGATCATTATCCTTATCTAGGACACGAAGCCCCGCCTTCCAGTCGCCAAGTCGGTTGAGTCAGAGAATACGTAACACGGAATAGAAACATTTATTTCTAAATGGATCCGGACGACACCTAGCCATATACACTTCGGGGTGGGAGAGTGTCGTGGGCTACTTTTTATCATTGGTTGACATCAATTTTGTCGTTTTTGAAGTTTCACCTACGAGACTGTGAGTTGGTATCGGGGATAAGTGAGCATGCTGGTTACGAAAAACTTAGCTACAGGGCCGGACGGAGTTGGGTTTGCCAACTAGTTCGTTATAAATTCACTGCAACGTCTGTTTCGGAGACCGGCGAAGAAGATATGACGTACCTAACAAATGTGATAAGGTATATACAATGAGGCTTGCTAAAAGATGGTAGAGTTCCATGTGATAATTCTGATTGTCAGAGTGTTTCAAGACGGCCACCGCTTATGTCAAAACGCTTTTTTACAGCTGCGTAAAATGTAATGCATTTTCACTGTTTCGCTCGACAATGGAAGAGGCCATGATTGAGAGTTTGTTCCAAAGCTGTGACCTGAATCCACGTCTCCTTGCAATAACATCAGTGGTTGATAAGATCTTCAACAATCAGCTATTCTCGAGTTTCACAAAACAGCTTTACAAGGCCTTGAAATTATAATAGTTTGGAGAGCACAAACCAGTGTCTGAAATAGCGGCGCACAGTATTTGCAGTCGCTGTATTTCAAGTACTTAAGTGTAAAACGGTTAAGCTTTAGAGGCTCAAAAAATTTAAAAAGTATGCGATGTTTGATGGCAAAACGATGTTATTCTATCACATTTTGTGTTGAGCCTTTATTACCTTTTGTAAGCAATATCTTTCTGGTCGCACCTCTGCCTCCTTTTTAGCTTGTTCTATCTGAGCAGATGCTATAGAAACACAAGAATTTTGAAACAAACGCAACTTTTGATCATTTAACTGTTGACTAAAACAGAACAACATAAGCAGCTTTGTTACCTAGTTTATGTTAGGGTAATCGGGAAGTAATAAGACACTTATGGGGCACTCTTCAATTTTTTTCAATTTCGATGATTTTTTTTCTGGTAAACAATAAACAAACAACAGTGAAGATACATTTGTATGAAGTGATCTTTGCAGGTTATCTTGGTAGCAACTTGCAGCTCACATCCTACGACCCTTCGCACGGCGCTTCAAAAAACTCAGAATTTTTTGAACACTATCCGGATTTGTGCTGCACTAGCTTGAAGTCCCTATGCATATGACATACCATCCAAAGTGTTTTCCAAGCTCTTTCCAATGATCGCTTGAGCCGGCAGGAAGTCTTCATCCTTTTGCATAAAAGAAGCAGATTATCCGTAGAAATGCCAATTTGGAGCAGACTTTCAGGCTAGAAAAGTGTTTGGCCCACAATTTCTTGAAAGCGAAGTTTTCTCGAGGTAAATTGCATACGCATGGATAGAGCGTAAACAGCTCTACCAGATGCCATCTGTCAAAGGCAAGCCCCTTCGATCACCTCAATGAGGAAATAAATATTATGTACTAGCTGGCTTACCCGGCTCCACCGTATGTTCCAAATAGAAAATTCCATTTCTTAACCGATCCGGACCAAACTTGGCACACATACACTTCGGGCCTCGGCGGGTGTTACAGTCCACTTTTCGTTATCGATTGATGTCGACTTTATCGATTTTTTGCGAAATTTGAGCTAGGGGGCTGGTATTTGGCAGAGGGGTGTAATCGAGCATGCTGATCACCCCCCTGTGCCAACTCCCAGCCCCGTAGCTCAAATTTTGCAAAAAATCGATAAAATCGATATCGATCGATGACGAAAAGTAGCCTATGACACCCGCCGGGGCCCGAAGTGTATGGTGCCAAGTTTGGTCCCGATCGGCTCAGAAATGGAATTTTCTATTCGGAACATACGTACAGACAGACAGACATACATACATACATACATACATACATACATACATATATACATACATACATACATACAGACAAACAGACATTTAGCTTTATATATAAAATATGTCACCTAATACTTAATGCTATATCTTCTATTACAAGCTTTGGGACCATCAGGCTATAGGGGATTTGGTGACAATCCCCTAACCCATTGCAGTACATACATTTTTGGCAGTCCCACTTGTTTTCCTCGGCATTGTGCTTAAAGTTTGGAATTACTTAGAGTGACGAGCTCACATTTTGAGCACTTTTAAACACAGTGCTCATAAAAATCTCGATCAGAAGATTTTGATATGTAAAC